TGGGGGCCCCCCGGGGGCCCCCGGGGTGGCCTCCAGGGGCCCCAAGTGAGCCCCCTGGAGGAAAAATCCGCACTGGGAATGCTGGGGTCTGGACTTTCGAACTTCCAACTCCAAGGGGGCCCCTCAGTGTACCTGGGGGGCCCCCTGGGTCTGTTTAGCCCGGGGCGGCTGCGGGCTGCGCTGGAGCTGGTGCAGCAGCGGGAGGCCTTCGGGCTGCAGCAAGGTGCTGCTGCTGCTGCTGCTGCTAGCCGCGCAGCAGCAAACTGGACTGTGGAGGGCCTCCTGGACCAGTATGCTGAGCTCTGGGCCACGCAGCTGCACCTGGCCATGCAAAAAGCTGCTGTCAAGGAGGCAGCAGAAGCCACTGCGAAGCAGCTTGCTGCAGCAGGGGCCCCGGAGCCCACCCTCGTCCTCGCCACTTTCCTCCTCTAGCTGCTGCTGCCGCAGCAGCAGCAGCGGCTGCAGCAAAAGCAGCTGCGGAGGCAGCAGCTGCTCCAGAAGCTGCGGCAGAAGGAGCTGCAGCGGAAGAAGCTGCAGCGGAAGAAGCTGCAGCGGAAGCGGCTGCGGCAGAAGCAGCAGCAGCAGCAGCAGCTGCATCGGAAGCACCAGCTGCAGCAGAAGCAGCAGTGGCAGCAGCAGCAGCAAGTTCTGCTGCTGCTGCTGCCTTGCAAAGGTTCTTAAGCCCCAACGGCCCCGTAGATTTGGAGTGCCTCTGCCCGTGGGCGCCCCAGCTCTGCGCAGCACATTTGAGCCTCCCAGCCCCAGCCGCTCCGCAGGGCGCATGCATGCACGCATGCATGCATGCATGCACGCATGCATGCGCCTTCTACGGAGCCCGCGAGCGCTGGTGTGTGGGGCCCTCAGAGGCGACGCGTGGGTGCTTCTGTGAGCGTCTGTGCCGGGGGCCCCTGCGGGGCCAAAAGGAGCCCTGGGGCACCTCCAGGGGCCCCCCGGGGGCCTTCAGGGGTCCCCAGGGAGCCCCCGGGGGGCCCCCTGAAGGCCCCGGGGGCCCCCTGGCCTGGGTTTGCATGCAGAGGGGCCTCGGGAAGAAAGGGCCCGGGGAGCGGAAAGGATTTGTGGCCAAGCGGAAAGGCCTGCCGATGCCCAGCGCATGCACGCACGCATGCATGTTCGCATGCATGCACGCATGCATGCATGCATGCATGCATGCATGCATGCGTGCATGCATGGGCACGCAAAGAAAGCCTGCGCACGCAGCCACGGTCCTGCTTTTGAGGGCTTTCTGTCTGCATTGACAAGTGCAGGGATAGCACTTGTTTGAAGAGGTCTAAAGAGGCTTTGCATGCGCCAGGGCTAATGCACTTGTTGCTGTGGGGCCCGGAAATTTGGCGCTGCAGCAAAAGCAGCAGCTCCTGGGGCTGCGGGCAGCAGCTGCTCGAAGTAGCCGTGCAGGGGCGCATGCAGGGGCGCATGCAGGGGCGCATGCATTGTATGTGGCAGTGCCCCGCGGCTCGGGAGCAGCTGCAACTGCCAAAGCCCCAAA